GGACCTATTGGGCCTTAGGGCAAATCCGCCACTGTATGTGATACTAATAATTTATTCCCTATTGAACAAATAGTGTTTGATAAATGAAAGGATATGTTGTAAACACTTGCTATAATATATTGTAATGTGAACATACAATTGACCACAGGAGAACCATGGTTATTGTTTACCCTTATGATATGTCAAGTATCATGAATGTGATTATTAGAAAATTGCAGCCTTTTTAATTGGAATAAATGATCTGCGGTAATTATAGAGATTTATGGTATTACATTTTCAAGCTTTCCTACCCCGGATAAGATGCTGGCAGTAATCATGTTCCATTTAAGTTGTGTGACAAAAAGTCATGTATGGTTACATAATCCAAAGGCATCTTAATTTCGCAAATGCATGATTGGGATGTCTAATTTTAATTGGAGCTCATAAAACTCTACGGAATTTGAAGTACTCTATTTTGTGTCCTTAACTGTGTCCACTATAAATATTCTGTCTTATCTCCTGCTACTAACTCCACTCAATATGACTGAATTTATTTTGTTGTTAATATTGTTTTTAAGGGCTATAATCGCCATTTCACATTGACTTTGATCTTCATATATACAGGGAGGCTTTTTAAAGTGTATCCATTTTTATTCTAGACATAAACATTATATAAAAATGATAAATATTTAAAATCACACTTAATTAATTAAATCGACGCTTGAAAGGCAACCCTAACTAAGCGACAAAAATCCGTAAAATGAGTTATATATACCATTCGAATCGCCAGAATTTTTCGCGTCGTTTGATCTGAGTCTCATGGTTCAACGAAGAGTTTTTTGTCGCTTAGATATTGAGAGATTTCGGTTAAAATCTACATAATGTGCTTACTAAACGACACAAAAGTATTGATTTTAAGAATATGCAGCACATCGACATTTTGAAAATTAGGAATATAAACTTAGTCGGTTTCTTATATATTGACTTTTTCATTTATTTGTATTTACGAATTTTTACTTGTTATGAAATTTCCCTTTGAAACTACTTAGTAGATCTTACCTATAAAAAACAAATTGTAATTCATGTGGTTACGTATTTTAGCTTGTTATTATATTTTGTGAATGTGTCTTTTGTATAAGTTAACCTGAAATAAAGCGGAAGAAAATTAGAGCTTAGATATTTTTAGTTGATAACGGTTAATGTTAATGATGTCGGTTATATAGTTCTACTTGATTTTCTAAATGACTAAGCATGGCGAGTAGACAAATTTACCCGTACGCAAATTTTATTTTCCCGTCGCTAAGGAACTGCGTAAGTTTCAAAAACTTTGTATAGATATACACGATACGTGAAGTGACACGCCTATACGGGTTCTCAACCAGGCGCCTGCAGTCGCTTAGGGAGGACGTATTTAACATTTTGGCGCAAATTCAATGAAGACATGGTAATCGATCAAATTATGCAAAACTCTCTCAAAACAGATAGTAACTTTATCTGCTGAACCAGCCATATTTATCACTTACCTCATATCACGATCTACCGTCTACATCTGCAGGACTAAGTAGAGAATCAATCGTATCAAATCTAATCTAGCATTTTGAAGGTTTTCTAGAATTTTGTTGTAGTAACGTAGGTATACATTATCCCATAAAACATTTACTTATTTTACGCAGTCTACTTGTGGGTAGGATCAATTTATTTTTGTTCCTAGTATTTATATCATGAACATTATTATGTCTTGAAAATTTATCCTTATTTTTATGGACATACAAACATTTTCAAAAATGTATTGAGAAGCAACAGTCAATACCTTTATCTCTTTAAACAAGTTTCTTAATGATTCTTTGGGGCCCAGATTGTAAACTGCTCTTTTTTAAGATGAAGATTGTATTACTGTCGGCCGCGTTACCCCAAAGCAGAATGCGATAAGACATTATACTGTGGAAATAACTAAAATATACCAAGCGAGCCGTATGCACATCAGTTAACTGTCTTATTTTTCTGACCGCGAAAGCTGCTGAGCTAAGTCTACTCGCCAGTCTATTAATATGGGGGCCCCATTGCAGTTTGGCATCAATAGTAATATCAAGGAATACAGTTGAGTCAATAGGGTCCAACGCTTCCCCATATAAAAGAACATCAGTTTTTACATGTTTAACATTGGAAGTTGTAAATTTAATACATTTAGTTTTTTTATTATTCAACAGTAAATTGTTAGCACTAAACCAATACTGTAGTACACAGTGGATAGAGTATTGTTTACATCGTCATAACTTAAAGAACGTCGTTTTACTTTAAAAATTAAAGAGGTATCGTCAGCAAACAATACTATCTCATGATTATTATTAACTAGATAAGGTAGATCATTTATGTAAATGAGGAAGAGAAAAGGCCCAAGAAGGCCCTGGTAAATATGGGGTCCCGTAGGGATCTACTGCGGGACCCCATATTTACCAGGGCCCCAGGAGATCTCTTGCCATTCACGTCGACTCTCTGTATTCGATGGCTCAAGTACGATTTCAGAAGATTGAGTGCGGCATATCTTATACCATAGTGGCGTAGTTTCCTGAACAAGGTCTGATGCTGTACACAATCGAAAGCTTTGGTTAAGTCACAGAATATACCTAAGGCATCCTGCGACTAACAAGCTGAACACCCGCATCCGTTGTTGAGCGACCCCTAGTAAACCCATTTTGCTTGTTATGTAATAAATTATGAGAGCTAAAATGCTGTAACATTTAATTAAACATGATTTTTTTCAAAAACTTTACTAAGAGTTGGCAGTACAGGGATAGGTCTAAAATTATTGGGGTCGGAAGTACTACCAGATTTAAACACCGGAATGATTTTACTATGTTTCATAAAGCCAGGAAATTCGCCACGATTGATACAAATATTAAAAATAGTTGCTAGGTAAGGCGATATAGCATCAATAATAGAACTGATCACCTTAACCGAGATCCCCCATAGATCTGCAGAGAACAGGTTGTCACTCCATCTATTGGGTGTCGTCCTATACTGCGATGGCCAGTACGAGGCTGCCACTCGAGAACCTTTCTTCCCCAACGGTTATCAGTTCTACGAGCTATATGGCCGGCCCATCGCCACTTCAGCTCACTAACCTTCTGAGCTTTGTCGGTTACGTTTGTTCTACTGCGGATGTCTTCATTGCAAACTCTATCATGCAGAGAAATACCGAGTATAGCCCGCTCCATATTTGCTGAGCGATTTTGAGCTACCTCATACGGCCAGCAGTGAAGGACCACGTATCAGTCCCGTATGTCATCACTGGCAGCACACACTGGTTGAAGACTTTATTAGTCTTCAAACATTGTGGTATATTCGGCGAGAGGAATTGCCGAAGTTTCCCGAACGCTGCCCATCCGAATTGGATTCGCCGATTGACCTTTGCGTCGAAGTTGAACTTACCTAGCCGGACTAATTGTCCTAGATATACATATTGGTCAACAAATTCGAGCACAGTGCTCCCAACAATAACATTAGACATGATCTTCGTCTTGTCCATATTCATATTAAGGCCCACCCGTTGAGAGGCACTGTTTAAGGTCATTGAGCATAGTACTAAGGTCCGCCTGCGATTCTGCCATGATGACTATACGTCGGCATATAGAAGATGGGTGATGTATTCGCCATCGATGTTTATACCACGTTCTTTTTAGTCCAGAAGATTGAAAACATTACTATGTTTAATAATTTATTCATGATAATTCATTTACCTAAAATTATTAGTTATAGTTTTTTAGAAAATGAGTGATGAAGATGATAGTGTAATTTATGATTGCGACTGCAATAACAATTGTTCAATTTAAGAAAATGATCTCAGACTAAATGTTATGTTAGGTTAATTAGTTTCCTTATTTAATTTTGTACGTAGCGCATTTGTTTAATTTTTAATAAAGAATTTTATTCCATAATAATACATAATTGATTTCATTTATTTTTGTGCTTGATTTACTAATACAATTTTTGATTTAATGTCAATTACGAAGCTAGATTTGGAGTAATTTTAATATCTAGATAGAATTTCCACAATCACAAAAATCATTAAATAATGGTTAGGTAAATTTACTTGATTTATTAATTTAAACTCTGATTATTTTAGATCAATTTTTCTGTATCAAAATTTTAAACTAAGTAATTTACCTATTTTTACATGTTACAGCATATGCTACAGTGATGACTTATATAATTTTACCTGTTTATGAAATCAGGTAAATTTTATCTACCCGACACAAACTGATGTTTATAAAAGTGTGAGCTGTCTTATTGTGACAATTTCAATAGCCACAAAAAAATTAATTCTACCAGTGTTATCATCATTTAAATCGAACAATAGGTTGAATTTTTATGATTTTTTAAATTTATATTTGAACTTTAAATCACTCTCCTGTAAAATTTGCTAAGTGTCGCTTAGTTAGGGTTGCCTTTCAAGCGTCGAAATACATTCATTTGAACTTATCTCAAAAAGTGCGTTATTTATGGGCAACTCATTTATTTTACGCGCGATCATTATCTACATAATTATCATATCAAATAGCGTATCGATTCGCAGCACCACTTATAATGTAGGTTTGTCTGATGTAAAGTCGGACAAATCTACATTGACATTCAGTATCACTTCAAATCAAAAGCTCAAATCAATCCATTTTTCCCTGAGATTTACATGTTGTTCAAACTAAATATAAATTTATATCAATACATAGATCCTTTACGAAGTTAAAGAAGGACCAACACATTTTTACTTTAAGTATGCAGTGGAGCAAAAAGTGAATGGATCTTCTTATTACTACTAATTGATTATGGTAATGAGAAGTTTTATCACAGTAACAAGTTTGCCTATGTCACTCTGTTGCAATGTGAACGAAGGATAAACACACTTTTGCATTTATAATATGACCAATTTAAATCCTATTAAATTTAATTATATTTCTTATAAACATTTTTATTATGTATATGTGTAAAAGTATACAACAAATTATTTAAACAAAGTCATTACCAACCTCTGTTCCTCTCTTTCATCTTTAAGCTTTTGTGTTTTATATGCATTGAAGGCTTGCTTCTTCTCATTTAGTTTCTTGAATGTTGCATAGCGAGGATCTTTAGAAATTATTTTTACACATTGCTCCCAGGTTGCATTTGATGGTACATTCTACAGATAGTGAGTAAAAGATATTTAAAACAATGATAAAGAGTAAATTATAACATTAAATATTAAGAAATGACAATTTTAAATATTTGTATTTTTTTTTTGTATAGAAAGCTATAAGAAATTTTATATGTAATGTTTAAAAAATAAAGATATATTTCTTTTCTCTTTTTCAAGTTTGTAGTTGTATATATCTTTGACAAGACAATGTTTTATTCTAACAAATTTAATTTTGTGTTTAGAGCTTATGTACCTACCCTGTCTCGCAACAACTCTTTAAATGCTTCAATGGCTTCTTTTTTGTCCTTGTACTGTAGTTCTGGAGATGGTTCATTACTATCAGATCCATTAACAGTTGGAGGCGCCACTATTTCCTCTGGTTTGACTGCTTAAAAAATTTTCTTTTAGAAACTCTCTAGAGTTTAAATTATAGTGTTTGCTTAATAGAAATAATGTACACATTTAAAGCTATAATTTTTACTTGTTAAAAATTTTTTCAAATAAAATTTAAAAATTTCATAGTTTCATGTCTTCCATGAGAAAATAAAATATATATACCAATTTTTTTACAATATCAAATAAATCATTAAAAATTCTACTGTAATAAGTAATTTCCAAAACAGTCACTGCTTAGTTTTATTGATTATATTGTATTTATTATGACTGTCTCAAAAAGTTCTATAGGTAATTTTAGTATTTGACAAAAGGAATTAATACTGATAAATTATACTAACTCTCTTCTGGGATAGGTATATTGTTAGCCAAATTTGGGTCAATAGCAGCTAGAGTTTTTGCCATAGCTTCATCTAAAGCTGAGCTTCCAGAGGTTGATATGTTTGGTGATATTGGAAGCGGCACTTCACCCGGAGGAACATCAGCATTCAGTGCAGCTCTAAAAATGGCACACACAAAATATTGTGTACATTAATTTCCAGAACTCTATATAACCTAAACAGTGACAAGAACAAATTCTTCAATGATACTTAATTAAATATATGATACTTGAAATTATAACAAGTGTTGTATTATTGAAATAACCATTATTTAACTTAGATCTTTATTTTGTGGTATCAAACAACTTTTACATTAAAAAGGCTGTAATAGATCACTAGAAACATGCCATGGTTCTTATTGCTTTAAAGTCACCTGTGATTGTAATAATAGGTGACTGAGCTAAATGCAACTTTAAGTATCTTCATAAATAAATTAAATGGAAGAATAACAAAATACTTTACTGTGCAATTTCTTCTGCAGCAATTCTGTCTTTTATCTCTTGAAGCTCTTTTGGTATTACCCAGCTAGATTCCTTTGTCTCTATATTGTGATAGTATACTCTTCCAGCATCTGTAGTGTACTCTTTCCAAACACAAGATGATAAAAGTTTCTAAAATTATGAATAAAGCATTGAGCACAATTTTTTGCCGATTTACATTTAGGGGTTGGGTTTAGAATAAAGTCGCCCGAATTTAAGTACACTGTAAGTTTGGGTAGGTTAAGGAGGTTTGTACCAAGCACTCTGATGCATTTTTTGACTTCAAAAACAGTACTGAGAATACACAGTACAGCCGAGATGATAAATATATGAAGCGGGTGACTTCATACTTGTATCAATTGTTTGTTTAATTTTTTTTTAAAAATTTAATGAGTCACATCCGACACATAGCAAAATGATTTGGATAGATTAGGTTAGAAGGTTAATGTTTAAAAAATTAATATTTAACAAACTTACCTCAGCAGGGGTCTTTAAGTCATCAGGTTTTTCCCATAAACTTTGCTTGGTGACTGAATTATAGTAATATGTGCGACCATCGGGTGCTTTATGTTCTGACCATGGGCTGCTCTGATTTGCTGTAGGAGTGATATCCGGGGCTGGGGCAACAATATCCTAGAAATTTTCATTAAATATAAATCAATTTTAAGGACCAAAGGGCAGCTGAATTATTAAATAATGATTCATTAATTATTTACTGCTTTAAATGGTGGAAATCCTGGAGGTGGCATTGAAAAAGGTGGTATAATTGGTGGGAAACCCATTGGTGGTTGAAGACCAGGCATATTATTTGGCAAACCAGGAACGGGAGGCATAGCAACAGCTGGTGGTATCGGCGGTGGTATAGCACCAAGCATTGGAGGTGGCAGTAACGGCGCTGAACCGATAAGTCCTGGAGAACTAGTACCAGTTGAAGGCGGTTCCTAGAAACATTTCATTATTTTTTTTGTTGTTAAGTTTTATATAAGGATTTTTTTTGTTATATTATAGATTTAAGGACATAAACACAATTTAACAATATATAAAACATTACATTCCTTCTTATAATTGCTGTACAGAGTTGAAATATTTCATAAATACTATGCATGTTTTAAAGTTTTTTTTAGTGCTAATCTCTGCACTTAAGATTAAACATTAAAACATGTAGAAAAAGTACGAAAAGATTGTCGCCGCTGTGGGAATCGAACCCACGTCTTCGGCATTCGCAGCCTGACGCTCTAGCCACTGAGCTAAACGAATGCAGAAGACGTGGGTTCGATTCCCACAGCGGCGACAATCTTTTCGTACTTTTTCTACATGTTTTAATACTATGCATGTGTTAAGTGCTAAAATATTACCATTATTATGGGGGGGATATTCATTTGTTTTCTCGTCTGGTTGGCTTTATAAATAAAAAATAAATATTATGGATAAAAATAAACATATACATATAAAAATATAATACAATTATTACTATTATTAATTATTTACCATTTTGATAGTATCCGTTCAGTATACTAAAAAAAGTAGCAGCAACAATGGTCATTTAAAAAGATAACCTAAAACAAAAACAACAATAACGGGAATCAAATGATAATAATACTTATATCATGTAAATTTGTTACTAGTAATAGTAATAAATCAAAACAGCTTCCTCAGGAACCGAAACTCGGTATAACTTATTATTAGTTTTAAGACAAGAAAATCAGTATTAAGAAAATAATTCGACGGTACAGAGCAAAGAGTACATTATTAATATTAGAGATGTAAACCGGTTTGAAGAAACCGGTGAAAAAACCGATTTTTAATAGAACCTATTAAAACCGATTTTTGTTTAAGAAAACCGATTTTTTGAAAGCAAAATATTGATTAATCTTACACCTAGTACGACATCTTACGCTTAAACCAAGTACCTTATAACAAACAGAGAACGGAAATCTACGACAAGTGAGTAAGCATTTCGCACTAGATGTATTAGAAAGTATTTTTTTTTATATCTAATAAAGCATTTTAATTTAAACGGTGGTAGGGCCACGCAGCGGCCTCGGCTGTTGCACGAATGGGCAGGGCCGTACGGGTAGGTACCATGACCTCACAGAAGACCAGCGTAAAGTGGAAGTATGACAAATACTTTCGCGTTTCGTCTGGTGAGTGAGGTAGCCGGAGCCCAATTTTCAAAAGGTTGTCAACGCATCTGTAACCCTCGGGTTTGGCAGATGTCCATGGGCGGCGGTATTCACTTAACATCAAGTGAACCGTCTGCTCGTTTGACAACTTTTCGCATAAAAAAAAAGCAGCCACAAGCCACAAGCCCTACAAAACCCCTTTAAATGTCTATACTGGTTGCTATTTCTCCCTTACCTGCGGTTTATGGGCATCATGACTTTAGTATAATAAGCTCTTTTTACAAACTTAATAAAAAACCTTTAAAAACCTAAAATTACCGTTTTTTTAAAGTAATCGGTATAGAACCGGTGTGTTAAATTGTAATCGGTTCCATCTCTGATTAATATTGTAGAGTCATCAGTCAATTAGTCTCCTCGTGAGACAGCGCCATCTCTTGATGAGGGACCGAACTACAAGTTCAGATGTATAACATTGATAACATAGAACCATTTTGTTTTTACAGTTCAGAACTGTATTCATCTACAGTTTTCTATATAGTGTACATGAAATTTATTTAATTTATATTTGATAACATTGTATAGAAAACTGTTATATATATAAAGGAAATAAAATGCAGAAATATGTTTTGCGAACTCTTTTATAATATTCACTCGCTATTTTTTTTATAATCTTTGTTATAAATGATTTCGAATTTGGTGCCATTTAGTAAATTATTTACGTGAAATTATTTTTGGCTATCCAAAATCAGTACAATTCCTCCAATCGATTGAATCCATGTTTTAAATCTGTCACTATCATTTTCAGTTGAAAAGAATGCAAATTTGCGTTGCAGTCTTTATCCATATGTACAATATTAATGTTTTGCCGTACCGTATAACTATATAAAAAGATGAATAATGAAAGATAACCGAATAAAATAAATTAATAATAACCAGCCGCAGTTTAGTTACGTCGGTAACGTTCCTTTACACTGTTTAAAATTACTTCCAGCATTTTGCTTAGTTGTTTTTTTTCAAAGTTATAATTTTTGTTAATAAAATATGATTTTCTCCAAAATAAAAACCATACATAATTCTTTTTTATAAATTTATTTAAACTTTAAAATTTTGTTTTCAATTAATTGGTATCATAGTTAAAATAAGATAACAACAGCTCAGAGGATTAGCAAGCTGAAGTGGCGATGGGCCGGCCATATAGCTCGTGGAACCGATAACCGTTGGGGAAGAAAGGTTCTCGAGTGGCAGCCTCGTACTGGCCATTGCAGTGTAGGACGACCCCCCACTAGATGGAGTGACGACCTGTGCAAATGTGCGGGAAGTCGATGGATGCAGGTGGCTCAGGATCGTACTTCAAGGCAGTCTATGGGGGAGGCCTATGTTCAGCAGTGGACTCAAACAGGCTGAAATGATGATAATGATGATGAAAGTTAAAATGGTTTTGCATTTAAAACAACGCCATCTGTTTTTGACGGATGGAACTAAACGGAATGAGCAAGCTCAACATACACATAAGGTTCAGATTGTGCTTGTACGTGAAATAAATTACTTTCAAAATATTTTACGCCTTGATTGGAATATTTTGAATATTATTTGTATAGCAACAAGGTTTAAACTTAAGTAAACAAGTATTCGACTCGTTGCGTTGGACAGAAAATGCTTTGAAAGTATTTTGATTCCTGGTTTTTGGTATGACCTGGTACGCTATCTAGCAAGTATAACCCATCACTATTACAGCCTACAGCTTAGTAGGGTGACCATCTCTAAATGGTTAATCTGCATAATCAGAAAATCCCAGTAGTATGGAACGAAAGTTGCCAATTCAGAAAATAATTTGCTACCAAATAATAATAAAAGTAAATGAAAAGAATATCATAAGTATTATAAATTAAAATATTAATTTATATGTACAAATATATTTCAAAAATTATAAAAATTTTTTCAACAACTCTACCACAAATCACAATGATGTCTATCGATATAATCGATTTATCCAAACAGGGCTGGAGTTTTTACTGTAATCTTCGTACTATGTACTATCCATATCGACCATATACAAGGATAGTACGGAAAAATACTATAATCCATGACTATAAATACCAATCCAACATAAAAAAAGATTTATTGGGTTGTAATAACGTATTATAAATAATCTTTTTCAATTAACTATTTACGGGGGCTACCCGTTAAATATATTTTTTCTTTCGATACTTCGCTTGTTGACGAGTAACTTTACATATTGCACTACGAGATAGGAAGAGAGATCATAGAGGTCTAATAGTACCATTAATTTATAATTTCTTAAACTATGTTATAAAACAAATATAATCCATAGATGCCATTTTATTGTCTTTTGGCGCTATCAAAAATGGTAACAAAGGTGGGAATTGTACTGATACCGATTTTATTCCTACTGAGAACATATTATTAAGATTAAATTCTTGATGAAACTAATATTGAAAAACTGATAAACTTGGAAGAAGAGTGAATTAATGACTGGTTAAATCGAAATAAAGTATTTTATAATTTCATCCTTTAAATTTTTTGTACTATCTTTTTCCTCGTACCTAATAGCGATGGGTTATTGAAGGTTTTTTCGTCAACTTACCGTTAACGTTGATTACTTTTCGTCAACTAGTCGATGAACTAGGTAAATTCAACTAGTTAGTGTGACACTTGGTAAGTTTGCATGAACGAACGGAATTTCCTTAACGCTGCTACCTTTAACGAGTCTAAATCGTCTGACTGATTAATATTATACAATTTTATAAGGGGTTCTTTTTTTTTTTGTAAATTATTAAATTTCTAAAAAAAAAACAACTTAAACATGAAGTAAAATTCTAATACAATTTATTTTAAGTCGCAAAATAATCTCTTACCTTAAGCGCAATTATCAAATAAGTTTTAGAAAGTGAATTTAAACATTTCGTTCTTAAAAGTAAAGAAGCAACTAATGAAAATGGTATCACCGGTGCGCGAATTCTACGATCGTAACCTTTTATAAAAAAAAATATGTCAAGTAATAATGAACTTTCGACTGCGTTCAAAATAGAGTTCAAATTCATTCTTTGACATGACAATTTGTGACAAAAATTTCAACGAAAGGTTTTTCAATTTATTTAGTGCGTTACGTTTTCCTTCTTAGAGTCGATTTTATAAAACAGCATAATTTCCTAAACTTCGTTGACGAATGCTACGACCTGGTTTCATAGAGGGTTGACGTTAACACGTTTTGAAGGAGTCAACCGTTGATTTAACTAGTTCGTTGATTCAACGCTCATCACTAGTACCTAAATCCAACCCTGCAAAAGAGTCAATTTATATGGGAGGGAAAGTCAATCTTTAAATAAATCTAAAGGTTAGAATTAAAACTTGTAATAAGTCGTTTAAGATAAGAAAACTGTTTAGTGATATTAGAGTTTAGTGAGATTCATAGTGTTATATTGTAATTCAAAATGTCAAGTACATCACAGAAGCATAGAAACTTTGTTGCTGAACCTATGGGAGAAAAGCCCGTTACAGATTTAGCCGGCGTTGGTGAAGTTTTGGGAAAGAGACTTGAAACTGCAGGATTTGATAAGGTTAGTCTAATGTAAAATATCAAAAAAAAGATGTCAAATGGCTTTCTTATCAGGATTTTTTGTGACCCTCAATTCAATCTTGTTAAAGTAATCAAAATGTATCAAACCTGAAAACTACTTCCCAAATTACAGTGCAAACTAAAAAGTGTGCAAAAGTTTACTAATTCATACAACAAAATATGACAGTTTGTAATATATTATCTTTCTTATCCTATAAACGAGCAATTCTTGTATATATATATATATATATATAATCGCAATCTCGGAAACGGCTCCAGCGATTTTCATGAAATAAATTTCGCCGCAAAACACAAATATTATAATAGCTCGGTCGGTAATCGGGCGGCCCCTTAAACAGACGGCCGCGGTTCGTATCACGATCATTTACACACTTATTTTTTTTTTACTTTTTTTTCAATACCAGATCATTTTCTTTATTTTTTTTTATTTCCGAAATACATGATTTACCAAAAAAACCCGAGCAAAGCTTAGTCCTCCAGGTACTATATTTATATACAGAGTGTCGTTACCATCGCAACAATAAATGAACACACATATAGGGGATAACTTTTTAAAGTTGTATTAAACATTTAAATTCTTTACACATTAATATTTACAGAGTTATTAAATTTTACAAAACAAAGACTTTGAGAACACCCTTACCTATAAAAGCGTAACATAAAGTTCATCTGTAAAGGTCACAAAGCTTATGAATGGGTTGAATGAATTTAAAAGAGACAAAACATAGTGTTAGAACGAGAGGCTTGTAATGCGACGCTGTGGCGCGAGT